TATACTCGTATACAGAAAACCCTAAAGCCTTCACCAAAACATGTTAGAATAAACAAATTCAATAAGATTGCAGGATACTAAAATCAATATAAAATATCAGTGTGTTTCTATACACTAACAACATACTATCAGAAAGAGAAATTTTAAAAACATTCCCATTTACAATAGCTTCAAAAAGAATAAAATACTTAGGAATAAATTTAATCAAATAGGTGAAAGATTTGTACACTAAAAACTATAAAACGCTGATTAAAGAAATTGAAGAAGACACACAAAATAATCAGAAGATATTCCATGTTCATGGATTAAAAGAATTAATATTTTTTAAATGTCTATAGTACCCAGAGCCATCTTTATAATCAGTGCATTCCCTATCAAAATTCCCATGGCATTTTTTGCAGAAACAGAAAAAATAATCCTAAAATTTGTATGGAACAACAAAAGACCCAGAATAACCAAAGCAATCTTAAGAAAGAAGAACAAAGCTGGAGGCATCACACATCCTGATTTCAAATTATATTACAAAGCTACAGTAATCAAAACAGTATGGGATTCACATAAAAACAGTCACACAGATCAATGGAACAGAACAGAGAGCCTACAAGTAAACCCATGCCCATAGGGTCAATTACTTTACAACAAAAGAGGGAAGAATATACAATGGGGAAAGGACAGTCTCTTCCATAAATGGTTGTGGTAAACTCGATATTCACATGTCAAAGAGTAAAACTGGACCCCTTTCTTACGCCATACATAAAAATCAACTCAAATGGATTAAAGACTTGAATATAAAACCTAAAACTGTAAAACTCATATGAGATAACATATGAGGTAAACTCCTTGACATTGGTCTTGGAAATCTTTTGGATTTGACACTAAAGCAAAAGCAAAAAAATTTTTTAAAAAATAAACAAGTGGTACTACATCAAACTAAAAAGCTTCTGCACAGCGAAGGAAACAGTCGACCAAATGAAAAGGCAACCTATAGGCAACAGATAGTGCTTGCAAACCACATACCCAATAAGTGGTTAATATCCAATATACCCATACACTCAACAACAACAAAAAACTAATAACCTGCGTTTTTAAATGGGAACTGAATAGACATTTTCCAAAGATGTACAAATGGCCAACAGGTACACCAAAAGATTCAACATCACTGATCATCAAGGATATGCAAATCAAAACCATAGTGACATCTTACTTCTCACGTATTAGAAGGGCTACTATTAAAAAGACAAGAAATAAATACTGGTGAGGATGTGGGGAAAAAAGGGAACCCTGGTGCACTGTTGGTGGGAATGTAAACTGGTGCAGCCACTATGGAAAACAGTATGGAGATTCCTTAAAAAATTAAAAATAGAACTGTTACATGATTGAGTATTTCCACTTTTGGATATATGTCCAAAGGAAATTACATCACTATCTCAAAGAGATATCTACACTCCCACGTTCACGGCAGCATTGGTCACAACTTCTAAAACATGAAAACAACCTCAGTGTCCATCAACAGATGAATGAATTAAAAAATGTATTCTGTATAAACAATGGAATAGTAGTCAGCCATAAAAAAGAAGGAAATCCTGCCATTTACAATAACATGAATGGCTTTTTTTTTCCTTTTTCCTATAAAACATAAAACAGGAGCTTTGTTGCTACAGCACAGTTAACTTAATTTGGAAAAGTTTGATACTTTCAAATTTATACTTAAAATCTATTTGGTAGGAAAAGGATAGGATTTTGTCTGGGGCTTATTATGCCCCATTACTGAGGCAAGATTCTTCTGAGTACTCACTCTCCCAAGTGTGCTGAATTGCGAGGTTTTCTATGCTGACTGGTGGAGGCAGACACTACTCCTGGCCCTTTGTAAGTGCTGGTACCAATCTCTCTGATCCTTTCAAGTAATTCTTTCTCCAGTCTGAGGTCCATTTCCTCACACACATGCACTGCTGAGGATCCTGCTGAATACCCAAGTGGTACCCTCTGCAAATCTTTGAAGTTCTCTCTGTGTAGCTCTCTCCTCTCCAGTACTCCACTCTGAAACCTTTAGAGGCCCCCATCTCCCAGAATCGGTAGCTCTGTCACCTCAACCCAAGAGTCTGCTGGGCTTGCCTTTCTGCACCATGACCTGGAAATTGTCTCAAGACAGTAAAACTGGGGATACTCATAAGCGACGTCACTTCTTTCCTCTCTCTCAGGGACCACTGTCCTTCGTTGTCTGATGTCCAATGTCTTGAAAACCATTATTTCATATGTTTTCACGGTTTTTTTCATTGTTTTAGGTAGGTGAATAAATATTGTCCCTGCTATTCCATATTTTCCAAAATATAGAATTGACCCTACAATGTTTATTAAGGGCAGGATTCAACAGTATCAAAATATCAAATCTCCCTCAGATTAATCTATAAGTCAATGAAATTCCAATTAAAATTACAATAGAAGTTTTTGAAACTAGAAACACTGATTCTGTAATCTGTCTGGAAGACCAAACTCCCATAACCCTGTCAATGCTTTATCTCCTTACATTGTTTACTTGTCTTCATAGTACTTATCAGCCCTTACATATTGTCTTTATCTGTTTTTGTTTTTGTTTTTGTTTTGTTTGTTTTTCCTATCTTTCATACTCTACTAGAATTTAAGACATATGCAAGGAGCAATTTTTTGTTCATTGCTGTATCCCTAGTATCTGACACATAGACACTAAATAATTAGAAACTGAACAAAAATACATGGTGAGACAGTTCTGAAAAAGAAGACTGGGAATTTGGCTTACCAAATATCAACACATTAGAAAGCAATTAATATGATTTGGTTATTATTGCATGAGTACACAAAGAGATCAACGGAACAAAATAGGGAACCCAGAGGTGGCCTTTATCATTTATAAAACTTGGTTAATATATGGTAGAAGCAGCATTCCAAATCAGTTGTGAAAGGATGCAATTTAGTTAACAAATGTTCAGAAAAATTGGCTTTCTCATCTGAAAAATAAATCTCTTCCTCACATACATACTTCTTTTCTATGATGTAAAAAAATAAATGCTTTATGCTTTAAAGACCTAAATGTTATTAAGAGTACACTGAGGAACAAAAATATAGGAGAATATCTTTATGGCTCCAAGGTAGAAAAAAACTTTTTGGACATGACACTAAAAGCACATCTTATAAAAGAAAAGGTTGACAAATTTGATTACGTAAAAATATAAATCTTCTGTAATATAAAAGAAAACCTTAAACATGGTGAAAATATAAGATCCAAATTGAGAGAAGATATTTGAAACTTATATAACAAAGAATTGATATTAACAATATATGAAAGTCCTACCAAAAAAAAAAAAAGACAGGAAATTCACAGAAGAAACCCAGATAGTCAACAAATACATACAAAAATGCTTATCATTATGCATAATCAAAAAAAAAACCCAAACACAGTAGTTACCCCCTTATCTATGGTTTTGCTTTCTGTCGTTTCAGTTACAGTCAACTGTCATCCAAAAATATTAAATGGAAAATTCCAGAAATGAACAATTCTTAAGTTTTAATTTGTGCACCATTCTGAGTACCTCACTTCATCTCATCACAAAAGTGCTGTATCATCTAATATCACAAAAAAAGGGTGAATACCATATAAGATAATTTGAGAGAGACTACATTCACATAACTTTTATTACCGTATACTGTTATTTTACATTAATATAATAAAAATTGTTCTATATTTAGTAATTGTTAATTTCATACTGTGCCTAACTTATAAATTAAACTTTATCATAGGTGTGTATGTCTATATAGAATAAAACACAGTATATGTAGGGTTCGGAATAATGCATAGTTTTAAGCATCCACTGGAGGTCATGGAACGTATCGTATCCCCCACAGATTAGAGGGGACTATTTATTTCACACCCAACAAATTGACAAAATTAAAGTTTGACAATATCAAATTGGTAGCAATGTGGGAGAAGCGAGCTCTCCACACTGCTGGAGGAGTGTAACTTGACACAACTACTTTGAAGAGCAATTTTACAATCTTGATCAAGTTAAAAATGTCCCCACCTCACAACTCAGCAGTTTTATCTCTGGATTCAGGTCCTAGACAAACTCTTGTACATGTGCACTGGGATATATGTAGAGAGAAGTTTATTTGTTCAAGTAGCATTTTGGAAGCGTTCAAATGCTGTTCAGTATGGGGAAAAGATAAATGAAATGTAGCATAATGAAGAGGGTAGGTTTTCTCAGGTCGAGAGACTTGAGCCCGCGTGGCCTAAAGCATCTACTACATGTAATGAATTAACTTCTTCCTGCACATCTAGAATGGTACTAGTTATGTATCATCCTTGGGAAAATTGAGAGAACAGTCACTCAAATCATTGTCCTGGGTTTTGTGGTTAAATTGAAGAACATTGTTTGAGAAAGGCTGCTAAGGGCAATTAAATTCAATGAACTCGAACTGTATGTATGGGTACGGATTGATCCCACCCATTAGAAAGAATATGTTTTAAAAAACAAGATGCAGTAAAATAAATATAATATGAACGCATTCATGTAAAACTTAAAAACATAATAGTGTTATATATTGTTCTTGGATATTATTTAAATCTATAGTAAAAGTATAAAAACACAAACTGAATGATATACACTGATTAATGAAAGTAGTAATATTTGGGGAGAAGTAAAAAGGGAATGAGAGTGAGAAAGGGGACTTCAACTTTATAAGTACTATTTTTTTTTTTTTGCTTTCACGTATAAAGTATATCTAAGCAAAAATGTCAAAATATTGAGTTGTCAGAAGTCATAATGCATTTTTGCAACGAAAAACAGAAAAAATGCATCATGACTTTTTGACAACCCAATACAATATCTGAAGCAACAATTCCAAGATATTGACATTCATTAATTTTAGGTATTGGATACACAGATGTTTGATAGCACTTCCATATATATTGTTTTCAAAAAAAAAGCAATTAAAATAAAACTCTACTCCTTGTTTTATAAAATAAAGAAAAAGACGACAAACAAATGAGTAGTACTCAATTCCATTCCGTTTTCCCACACTCACTAACTTCCTACTGATCTATCACCAGCATTTTACAGAAAAGAAGGTCATTCCATTGTTTTCCTACATCCTGTCATTCAGGATCCAAAAGTCTGCCTCTGTTGTCATTCTTGAGTGCAAGAGGCCTGCAAACGCTAGCACAGCTTTTCACAATAACCCGCTGGCTGGGAAACCTGAGCAAACAAAGAAGGGAGAAAATTAACTCTGGTCTCCAGCCAAAATAATTTGCTTATGATAAACAAAATAGACAATTTCCAGTTCCCACCCCACAGCAGATTAAGACCACCTGTTGTTAATTCTCTTCAAATATTTGATAGTTCTTATTTCTTTACGTTTCTCGGTTATATCATGAGCCTTCCTTTTTATTTTAACCCATACGGCACTATTTGCTTTTCCTTGGCTTTCTACTTTCAGAGTTGCCACTTCTAACTTATTTCTGCCTCTCTCATTCCAAATTTAGACAGGAACCTAAAACTATGGTCTTGTTACACCCTCGCAAACGATGCCCAACTTGGTGTGTCTTTCTCTGACTTTTCCTGGAACAGCTCACTGACTGCACTGCTCATGCACACCTCAGGAGTGAAGGATGCTGGCTCTCCCACACATCCCACACTTGCAGCCACTAAAGAATGCTTTCTCCCAATTCCAGGCTGCCATTTGTATCACCAACGGGGCCCAGCAGGCAACAGAATGACCTAGTCTTGACTAAATGAAATGACTACTTACAGAGATGTAGGCTGGTTATGGGGTGAAACAAGGAACACTGAAACATCTCTGCATGCCTTAAGGTTTCTTACGCGAAGGCGTTGCCCTCCCCTAGGCTAAAGAGACAAGGGAGAGAGGCATTCTTAGAGACCCCAGTGAGAGCCTGAGATATGCAGCAGGGCTCCTCTGGGGGACAGCAGTCTTGGAAGGACGCAGCTGCTACTAGAAGCAGTGCTGAAATAAAGGTGTGAGCAGGGAAGCAACAGGGCAACCTGGCTCTGCTCTCGTTCTCCAATCTCCTGCTCATGCCGCTCTCTGGCCAAACCCACCTGCAAGCCAGCCAGAAAGGCACCCAGGTGATACAGGCCTCAGGTGTCAGCCTACAAGGGCCCCAAGCAGGTTCAGTGAGAGTGAAGGCTGGTTTTACGGGGGAAGGAGCAAACAGGGAATAACCAGTACACCCCTGAAGTCGTGATGATGTTTTCACCTCCACATAAAAACACTTCCTCCTTTCAGGCTAATGTTATCAGACCATGGCCCCCTCTCCTACTCCTCAAAGTTGTCATTACCTGTCTCACTTTCCACTACACCTCCTGCCATCATCATTGCAACTTCACTGTGCATGTGGATGGCCCTTATGACAATCTAGCCCCAAAGGTTTTTACCTCCTCAGTAACAGCATGTACCTGTGCCCTAGTGCAGCACCCCATGGTCAGCCACTGATCACAGCCCTACATCTCGCAATGAGGAGGACTCCTTTGCCAGCACAGATGAAACAGGTTGCTGATGAGATCTGAACTCCCTCGGTTTCCCATTCCCAAACGTATCTGCAACCAGTCTCCCGTCTTCCTTCATTTTCAAGGAACAGGTTCTTTCTCCTGTTCCGAGCAGCCTATCTGTCCAGTTGCCTGATCCCTTCCTATCTCTCAGGACTTTGCTCCATTAGTTACATTCTCTTCCTTTGTACTGTCACCTTCTTCACATACCATATATTGGCTCAAGACCCTCTCATTCAAGAAAAGAAAAAAAAAAGAAAGAAAAGGAATGAATGCGTGTTTCCCTTGATCCAATATTCTCCTCTAGTTGCTACCCTGCTTCTCTTCTTAGCAAGTTCTTCCCAACAGCCTCCACTTCTACCCTTCCTTTCTCATATTCTCACCTACCAGTTAACCCTTGGCAGTCCCAATCATTCAATCAACTGGACCCACGCCATGAAATAACTCTAATGGTTTTCAAAACGCTAAAACCCAGTAAACACTTTTCAGTGTCTTGCAGCATCTGACATTGTTGGCTGTTCCCATTTCCATTCTTTACGTTATGGCTTGTGACATAATAGTCTCTCCTTAGCTTCTTCCTAGGAAGTATATCTATGACTTTTCTTTCTTGGTTTCCTTTACTGAATCTACTTGCTGTAGCTACTTAAATGTTAATGTTCCTGAAGATTCTGTCCTTGGCCCACTCCTGTCACTCTACGTGATTGACACGCCTGACCAATGTTCTCCTTCATTATCTCAGAGCTTTGGCTACCATCACATTCTGATGGCTTTCAAGTTCCTGCTTCTAGCCCCAGACCTCATTTCCAAGTTCTAGACCCCACATATTTATTTAGCAAATACTTACATACTGCTTTCTATATTCTAAGCACTGAGTTTTACAAATGTTAATTAATTTAATCCCATAACAACCCTATAAGGTAGATATAGGTGAGGAAAATTGAGGCACTGACAGGTTATACAACTTGCCCAAAGTCAAGTGACTACTAACTGGCAAAGCAAGGAAGTGACCTCAAGTAGTCCGTATTGTCAACCATCATGTTATCCTACCATTATCTGGGTTCTTGGTATCTTCGTTTTGCTGTCCCTTGAGTATTTCTAACTCAGCATGTTCAAAACCTGAACCATCAACTCTCTAAAAACTGGCTTTTCCCACTCTAAACAACATTACTCAGACTAATATTAAGAGACTCCTTCAAACTGATGTCCCTTAATTCTCTCTTCGATATTTCACTAGATATTGTGGGAGAGACTAATTTAATAAATACTGTGTATGTACATCTTTATGACAAAAAGACTTACTATATCCCTTGACACAAATAATATTTGATATTTTTTCAATTGTCTCTTATTTCACAGTTCTCCATCATGCTAAAATAAATGACCTATTAGTAAGAATGAAGTTTAACTCATGTGGATATAGTCTTTTTATAACACATTTCAAAGTTTTTATTTTTCTGATTTATATAGGTCAGTAAAATATTCTATGACCACTTTTTGAGTAGTAGCATTTTAGATAGATAATACCAAATGATCAAATGTTGTGTGACACGGGTGTTTCTGGATCCAATAGGCCAGACTCTTTCTTCACATGTGTGACAGAGTATAAAGTAAACTAAAGTTACTATGGAAATAAACTTTGTTAACATGTTGATGAATGTTTTATCCATCTAGAATCTGTACAAGATTGTAGGTAAATTTATCTAAATGAGCTATGCTAAATGCTCCTAAAACCAAAAGCCAGATTTACAAATAAAATTCCTTAGCACTTTTCCTATAATATTTGAAAGAGAAAATCAGTTATAATTAGAATCTTGAGAACAAATAAACTCACTGTTCATTTTTGTATATATTCCCTGCAATATAATTTGGTCTCACGTTGCTAAATTAAGTACAACAGGCCACCTAGCTAGATTATAGTAATGTCAGCAATTAGTCAAGTATTATTTGGCTGTGCATGCTGTAGTGTCAATTCTACAAAAAGAACGCTTCCAAGCTATCAACATTCAGTAACAAAATCTTGAAAGCAATTTTCTGACACAGCAGATTTTGAGTGTTGTTCTATATTATTTTTCACTTTAAATTCAAAAACTTTCAAACTAAATAGGATAAACAGAAATATAGTCACTGATTCACTTCCACTCATCAAAGTGGAGTGCATGTTCTAAAATTTTTTTTAAAAAAATCTTGGTAAATGTTGCCTACTTTCCTTTAGTTCTTGTGAACCAACAACCACCTGATAGCCATATTAAGATGCTTAAATGTTAGCTAGCAAAATAAATAAATATAAGTCACATGGCCCAGGTACACAGCATCTTGCCACACTTTAGTGAATTTCAGAATCACACTGATATTGGTGCTAGCCTCAGGTGACTCATATGGCTGCTCTCAAGTTTGGGGACAAGAGGTTCAGCTACACCTTGCAATTTGTATGCATGCTCCCCATCATTCCTCAGACGGGAGAGGGCAGCATCAATGCAAAGCTGCTTTCATTTCTCCTCCCCTTGTTATTTATTGGGTTGTCGGAAAAGTCATGACGTATTTTTTCTATGTTTTTCGTTGCAAAAATGCATCATGACTTTTCCAACAACCCAATAGATTATCAAGATTGGGACCCGTTTACCTGGAAAACAGCAATTAAAGTGGTTGCATGTGGAAACCCGAGTCATTGACTGGCATGAAAGCAATGATTTATGACAATGGTAATTTAGTATCTTTTATAGATGGATGCCTGGGGAAGCTGCTTACAGGCCAAGCTCGCCACAAGCTCTGCATTCTCCTCATTCTGGAGACTATAACAACTGTCTAACCAACATTTCCCAAGACAGAAATCAGAATCATCCAAATCCTGCGTGTCAATCCTCCTCCCAATATCAGTATGTTACCAAGCTTTCGGGTTCCCAACCTATACACCTTAATAGGGGTGGTTATGTACCACTCAACTCTAAGCCCCTTGAAGGTAGAAACGCTCTTATTCTTCTTTGCCCCAGTCCTGAGGGCAATGCCTGGCCTATAGCTTATGTTTTTAAATGACCATGGAAAGAAAGCATGGATGAGTGAGTACATCTCTGAGCTGGCACTAGAAAAGGTGTCCAGGGACAATGACAGGCATGAAGGAGCATCACGCAGTTATTTGAAAATAAACTTAGATATACAGCATTAAAAATGACCATAGCACCTCTTTCAAAGGTCAGGATACCAACAATAAGTGACAAATATAACTTTGGGGTTGGTTCCACTAACAACACGTAGAAAACAGCAACGCCTTCCTTTCACATAGCTGTGGCCTGGCCATAAAGTCTGGTTCCTCCAAGTGAGGACGCAGCCATCTCTCTACAGGTAGTTGCTATTTATGGTGCAAGGCGGTCAAACTCTCTCTGCTATATATGTGATGAAGCTTTAATGTAAACCAAAACGATGTGCTAAACACTATATAACACATAAGCACATGCTTTATCCACTTAGAATCTATAATAAATTCATAAAAAATGAGATAATTTAACAAATTTAAGAACTATAAGCCTTAGGCCCAAATGAGGGCCTCTTCTCTGCTTCCTAAACTCTTCAAGACCTTTTAACTAAACTTCTGAGTATTTCCATGTTTTAATGAATTTTATATGCATTTCTTCCTTTAGAGACAAAGCTTCATGGTTTGTATTCCAGGACTCAGAGTTTCATTGCCTCAGAAATCACAT